CTCTGTGCAGGTAATGACATTATTCAGATATACACTAAGCTTTTGATTAGATTGCTAAACATCCGAATCTTTGTATTCTAGTAAAGATACCCTAATTTCAGGCAATGCTATGCCTATCTTTACCATTTATACTTTTGCATGGAATTTTTTATGCCAGCCCTAAGTTTTGGAAGAAGGAATGAGTGCTATTGCTAAAACTTTATGTATTTTTGAAAGAAGTAATAGTTTGCAGCTTGATTATTCTTTTTATTATGGTTATTCAATTATATATATCCATACTAGATTTCCTCTCCTAAAAGCGAGGATTCCTTTATCTTACAAAAAATAGAGAATTACATATACCTTGAGATGAAATGGACCATTTCTGTTTGGCATTGCACTTGAGTAATGTTTTGAATTGAATGTTCTCAGGGTTCTAAAATAAAGTTAATCCATACGTAATTAGGAACGTCCTTAACTAGACAACCCTGGTTAGCTAAAGATTGGCAGATTATTCTCAAAAACTAGTCAGCAAACCATGGGCAATAATTAAATGAGAAAAGACAAAATTTCTCCTTAAAATGGATTGTTACAATAATTTGATGTAGCAATATGATTTTCCATTTTTAATTGCTGTAGACAGTGCATTTTGTTAAGCAAAATTTTGTCTTCTGAGAGCTAGATAGTTCCATAATTTTATGCCCCTTAACACTTTAGTAAGACTTCTGCCTTTTGCAATCTCTTTTGATTTGTGATGGATAAAAGAAACTAAAGGTTGGTACAGCAAGTGTTGGACTACTTAAAAACAAACTGAGACAAGATGACTATTTCGGAGAAATTAAGTATTTCTGTTTGTGAGACTTCATGACCTTATGTTAATTTATCACACCTTCCATATGACAATGTTTTTATTCCCAGAACAGTTATATTTAGTGTTGATACTTAAAGAGGTTCCTTTTTAAATTCAAATAACGAGAACTTTGCTCCATATTCCATGTCAATATGAGGATTCAGGGAGGGTTGAACGTAATTAATACATGGTTTTCATTCCCCCTCCCCGACAACAAGTACACAGTGCAATCCATGTCCCTTGTTAGCAGTACCTTCATTTGCAAAAGTCATTTCAGAAGGAGTTGATGACATTGCCATCTTTCAGTAAATAATAAGTCACAGCCTACTGCCTGTGATAACTGTAGAGGCTCAGTTGTTTAAAATCACCTGTATCACTTAAAATACGTTTTCTTTTGTCTCCAAATTAGTATGAAAATACAGAGAAGGCTGTTTCTTCAATTAAATGTGAAAGATTAATCACTGTAGGCAATTTGTTTCACAATAGAAAATAATTAAATGTCAAAAATGGAATATTTGCTTCTTAAACCTTGAATGGCTGAGAAGAAAATACTGGAGAGCACAAAAAAACTGGTGCTTATTTGCATGTATTTTGACTGAGTTGACACAAAGGTTTGCACCTAACTACAATCTATTAATTAATATTGAAATTACCTAATGAACTGGTTCTTATTATCATCTCACATGCCGTTTTTGGAGAATGAGAAATTTTGTCCATACCTAGAGTAGGACATGGAGGGAAGATAAAGGCATCACTGTATCTGAACAGAGTCTCAGTTGCATGGTTCTGGAATATCCCTCTTTGGGGGTGGGGGGACTAACCAGGATTCCCCAAAGTATCGTCAAAGTAAAACAAGTAAATATAAAAGTGAGAAATGGTTTCTTCCCCTCGCTCTCTCTCTGTTGCTCTTATTTCCACCACTCTGCCCTACTGATTGCAGCACCACCACATCAGAATGAACAATTAACTGTCTAATTATTCTGGTCACACCAGCCCACAATGAAATCTTTATTCCGTGTTTACAGCAATCTTTGGCAGAGGCTGGCTTGCTGTTTCTAAACTAAGAAGAACTGCCCTTTGGCTCCTCTCGGCATCAGCTGCCTTGGTTTCAGCCCTGGGTGCCAATAATCAGACTTCTTTTTCTTCCAAAGTGGACATTTTTTTTTAGGGTGAAAAGACCTATTCTCATCACCCCCCCATATATTCTGGCTGATTTATGTTCTTGCCACTACAGCTCTTCCTTCCGTATCTCTTTACGTTTTTCCTCTCTCCATAGAACACCACCAGGCAAAACCCTGCTTTAATTCCAAAATTGTAAAATAATGCTTAGCCAAACAGTGCTCACTACTATGAGGGATGAAAAATACAACTACTGGTTTATGGCGAGAGGGAAGTCAAGGAAATCCCTCCTGCTTTTCTAAGCTGCTGATTTTCTAGCTCAAAAGGCATTCAATAACTTCTCCACCAGGGGAAAACATACCCACTTTTCAGTGGCTCTCTTAATTGTTTCCTACTATTTGCTCAAATTCTCCAACAGCTGCAGGTCTTTCAGAAGCGTCAGAACTTGGGAAATATTTACAAATACATAAGGTTCTAAGAGACTACATCTGAGTGTCTTTGGAGATGGCAAGGGAAAACTATCACTATGCTAGACACGGGAGAGAAGGTAACACTAATTCACAGGTGAGGAGGAGGCAAGGCATTTACCTATGGGAGGAGATGAAAACACCTTGGTTAGCCTTCTTTGGACCATCTGATGGAATCCCCATCTGAATCTGAGAATGGAGGACAACCAGGGGTGGGTCTCTTAGCCTAAGCGACTCAACTGGTTTTTCCAGCAGAACATTGCTCTGCTCTGCAGGGATGATGGCATCTGTCTTCCCATGCCAGCCTCCAAACCTATGTGATGGTTCCTCTGACAACCCTTCCATCCTTCCTCTTAGCCCTCAACACTGACTATAGTCACATTTTCTTTCCGGTGAGAACTGGGTTATAAAATTTTACAGGGCAGAAAGGTAGAAGGGGGTGTTTCAGTAGTATAAACACTGATTAAACTCCCCGGCAACTCGCCCCAAACGAAAGATAATTTTTCTACAAGTATGCACAAGAATGTCAAGAATGCTAAGTCATTTTTATGTTTGTACTTTCCTTTTCCATTTTAATTTTACACTGCCACATGGCACACATGCTAAAAATGTATCTTCTTAACCTGCCGTGTAGCAAACTTTTCACAAAGCATTAACATGGCATATTTTATAGACTGTCCTTTCCCAGGATGCTCAGAGCATTTTTTTGAACGCAAAATTAGATCATCGGGTAACAACTGTCCTATTAGAAAGGCATGGCTACTCATGTATCAGCAAATAGGGAAGATCAGAAGCACTGAAAGGAAAGGTCACCCCAAAGTCAGTGGCCACAGCATCAGTCGACTCTGAGAACTTGGTTCACAGACTCAGTAGACTCCGAGGGTGCTATTCCAACTTGTAATACTTTCCTCTTGCTTTTCATTTGCCTTTTTTCAAAGGATGTGGCCAGCTTGGAGGCTTGACCTTATCTCCTGCACTCAGCTTAACTCTGCCACTGTTTCCCCACACCCTGGCCTTGATTTCTGCTTCATCAGGAGGCCAAGCCTCAACCTAGAGATGCGACCCAGGCAAGAGGAGGCAACCACAGGTGCCCTTGTGGCTTACTACATAGTTGGGAGCTGAAGCTGCTCTGGCCAAGGAGCATGTTTAGTGGGGTTGCAAGGGGCGCACTTTTCCACGTTGTGTAACTATACAAAAGGGGAAAGCTGGGTCAGTGTGGGGTTCCAGATGGCTGTGCCTCCAGGGTCAGAGCCAGAGGCTGAGGAATGTGAGCAGCTAGGATGGTTATATTCACCTATAAGCTTGAGTGCAGACACCCTATAGTTGGGACTTTTTGTTGCTCTTAGGTTGATTCAGTTCCTTGGACACCATCACAACTCTAAGGGGATAATTTCCTTTGGTGAAAAGCCATACGTTAGCGACTATAGGAGATCAAGGGACATTTCATTTGGGGGCGTGCAGACTCAATTTCCAGGCAATTTATAACAAGCAGGAAAACCAAAATCCTTACTGGTGCTCATGGCAATAACAACACTAATAATAATAATGGTAACACCACAGTCAATTCGCAATCTACCAGGTATCCAACATACCAGTTTTCTGGTCAGCCCTTCTTCCTGCCTGGGCTCAACAGAACAAAACAAAACAAAACAAAAAACAACTCTCTGGCGCTGCCTCCGGGCTGTCCTCCAGATTCCAGCCCCCACTCCGCCCCTGAGGCGGATCGCCAGGCAGAGGCTCCGGCTTCAGCATCTGCGCAGCCCGCTGCTAAGTCTCCGCTATGGCCAAGGGCGGGCTGGGACTCTGCGGTAACATTTTCTTTGCAGACCTAAAACTTTCACCCGATCTGACCCCCACACCCCCACCCCCCGCTCTCCCACCATGGTCACTACAAACAGCAAAGCCCAAACAATCCGCGCGCAATTCAGAGCCTTCCCTGGGAGTGTCAGGGCCCGGAGACAGGAAATCCGGGTAGTTGGCGATGTCCGGCAGGTGGCAGGGACGCGAGTCGCCACCACATTCTCCTCCCACAGCCCAGCTCAGGCGGGAGCGCGGCGCGAGGCACGGACCCGGGATCGGCCCCGTGGGTGCCCTGCGCCTCCTCTGAGCCTTAGTCTCTGGTCCCTTCACGTCGCGCACCTCCGCGCAAGGAACGCGGCTACCCTCTCCCCTCCGCAGCCGGAGGGAGGCGCCGCCGCCCGCAGGGCGAGCTAGGGCGAAGCAGAGCCCGGGAGCCCCGGCAAGCGCGCTCCTCCTGGGTCCCCCGTCCCCGTCCCAGGCGCGCGCAGCCCCCGCTCCAGTGCGCCGAGTCCTACACCTACCCCTCTGTGCTCCCAGAGAGCAGCTGCACCAGTCCGGGCAGCCCCTGCACGTCCGCTTCTCCCCCGAAGTCCGAGGAAGTCGAACTCAGACCGGCCCGTAGGCTCGCCGAGGCTGTGGGTAGTTGCGGGGACCGCGCAGCGCGCCGGGGCAGCTTACCCCAGAGCGCGGGCTGTGGGTGCCCCACGCGACCCTGCGCCCAGAGCGACCCTGCGCCCAGAGCCCGGGGACAGCTGCACGGGGCCCGATCCGAGCCTCCGCTTTACCTGGCACGGCCGGCGACTCTCCGGAGACCTTCGGTCCAGACTCCTCCAGGGCGGGCGTCCAGCTCACATCGCTGCCTCCACCACCGGGCTGTTCGTGTCCCGCTGGGTCCCTTTGCCCCGGCTTTCAAAGCTGTCCCCGGCCCCCCACCCCCCGACCCCCTCTGTCAAAAGTGTTACAGTTTTTCTGCCTTCGGATGTTT